TATTTTGGGATATTTATCGAAACCCAGCTATTTATAAAATTAAAATAAGTAATGCTATATATTGGTATAGTTAATACAAATTTGCTTAATTGAGAATTTCATTATATAATGTGATATTTGAAAAGGCCTAGCCTTTCTTGAAATTCACATCTGCCCTGTGATCCAAGGGTACTCGTTGCCATGTGGCGTAGTAGTTAACGTGTCGAGATTATAGGTTCCATTACCACAACCCGGTTCAGAGTCCTGATGGGAGTACTGGTAAAGTGAAAACTATAGTCCACTTATCCCTGGATGAGAATACCTTTTAGGAATCAAGGCTATGTATAATTCGTTGGAAACGTAAAGCTTACTCATGTATTGAAGAAATGAAGACCAAGATGTTGTGGCCTCTGGTATAGTCGCAGTCTCGTTTCGATTTATAGAAGTGAGTTGACCTCATTGTCGCAACTTGGTCTTGTCGTCAGGGTGACTTAGTAGAACGCACCTAGTCCGAAGTCGTTTGCCATATTAGCTGTCATGATTCCCAGCATCATGACGTTTGAGAATGTACCAAGTCCACTGTCTGATGTTGGGAATCATGAAACTACTATGGCAGCGACTTCGGACTAGGTGCGTTCTACTAAGTCGCCCTGACAACAAGACCAAGTTTGGACAGCGAGGTCAACCCACTTCTTATTCATATAATTGTTGGAAAATTCAATTATCAGTCCTTCATCACCTTCAACGAAATAGGATAAATTCATCTAAATTTTTCAATGGAAAGCCCTGCTGGCCTTTTCGTATAAGTGTTGCACAACCAACTGATCAGAAAACGTTTCCACTGACCTCAATCAGACGAGTTTTGAACTGTGACAGATATGCCAAATTCGGTCCAGATCCAGTCCACTGATGCACAAGGTAGCGATGCCAAATCTGTTGTGTCATGAGGTTGCAGGATTTCTCCCATTGGTTACAGATGTCAACAGCCTGCTGGAACTTCAACTTTACCTGTACGAACAGAGGCAAAAGAACATATACATACGCCATATATAATTATAAAAGATTAAATAAATAATTGTGGGAAAGCTAAATTTTCAGTTATGAAATTACCCTAAGTGTACT